ATAATCACCGAACTAGTCATGGTTAACTATGTATTTGGCTTCAAACTTTGCTCTCTTTTGTAGACTACTTGATTCGTTGTAAGATGGTCAGCGGAGAGCACAAACTGCCGCGAAAACGGCAACCAATCAGCGGTTTTTCTGCCCTGCCGCATGTGCATACAAAATGCCCTCCTGTTGTTCACAGGCTATTTCTGTGTGAGTGCACAAGGTTTGTGGATTAGGGTTTGCAGCATGTGATATTTGTCATATTTAGCCAGCCAATCAGAAGCAACGATCCTTACAAACAGTGTCTTGATTGGTCGCGGCTACCCCGCTTACTCTTCCGGTGACAAGAGTCTACGACAACTACTCTACGATAATATTCTTGCACTATACGGTAGAGGACTATTGCAAGCATGAGTTTCCAAAGTAGTATTCTTTGTGCCGCTACTGGGACGACAATTGACAACCGGTAGGTTTATAAAGTAAATACAGTTTACCACCAGAGTGATGCGAAGCACTGTATACGTATGGGAAATTGTTGAGACCACGGTAGGTCTTTACAAAGTCGAGTCTTGAACGTGAACACTGTTAAATTTTGACCACAATCAAAATTGTTTTCGATATTTAAGAAAATGCAATTATGTCCATGACTATCAAGTAAGGAAAATAGTTAGTCTCCAACAGGATTCGTACCTGGTGGTCTTCTAGTTCTGTACGCCGGACGAGCACTCTATCCTCCGAGTCTCGGAGACTCGTAGAGTATGGAGAAAACATACTCACTATTTACAAGAACTTCAGACTGCTAGTATCAACCACTGGGTCGGAAGCTTCAGGGGCACCTAACGACTATTCTCTGTAAAATATCTGTTCGGAGAAGCAAATATTGCTTAGAATTTTCTATCACTTGAGGACGGTTAAAGATATCTAGATGACCGTTCTTTTACTGTAAAATTTTCGAAGCGTATCTTATAAATTCCCTATACGACTTTCCCAAAAAGTGGTTTGAATGTATTTAGGAGGTGCCCCTGAAGCTTAGAATATGGTGATAAAATGTGACAAGAGGGGTAAGGCAAAAATGTTGTGAGAGTTGTTCGTGCATGTTGCTGGGAAATAAATGAACCGCGCGTCCTACAACTTGAAGGCGGGTCTTTTTTTAAAATGTTTATTTACATATTAACATAGTACCTGGCGAGCGAGGAGTGAAGTATGACTTCACATAACCCTTCTTCCTTCTCTACAGAGAAGCAGGCAAAGACCGATTTTAGGCCAAAAACGTTTGCATTCGCGCTTATTTCCTGCTTATTGATCTGTACTGAGAGCAGGCCGGGATGCGGACGCCCATGGAAACACCCTGCAGTCATGTTTTGGTTACTGCGCGCAGATCCGCCAAATGAGTAAGTTAACTGGTTTATCGACTGAATTTTTAAGGTTAACTGTTATTTTCTAATATTTACCACTAAGGAACATGGCAACCAACAGCAGAGTATTCACTTGCATTGGCTTTGGCTGGATATGAAAGAACTTAGACGCAAAGTAGGAAATTGAGGAACCGCTTAACATAGTTATGAAATAGGATTTCGCAGTTTTGTTTTGTTCTGTATAATATACAAGGATTTATGTCTCCACAGCATAATAGACATGCTGTTTACAAGCATATCAACATGAGAATTCTCTACTTTCAAAACTTACAAATCCGGCAGGCAAAATTCGTAGATAGAAATGTCGTGGAATTCTCTCATGACCTGTAAACAGTGTTTACAAGTGACTAAAACACAAAAAGTACAGGACATAACAAGCAAGGAACACTTGGTTCACCTTGTGATTACGCTTTCCTGATTTTTCACTTAATTGTGTTTCAGACAGAACAAACATTGGACCGAGCTAGTGATTCATGAACCCGCATATTAAAACGGCGTGTGTAAATTTATAATGTGAGCCTATTTTAACTCATATATCAGAATGAAAGAAATAGGTCGACTTTTTTAATACTCTGACCTGCGTGTTTATGGAGCTTAAAACTGAAATTTTGATAGTCGTTCGCCTCCCCATAATAGGCGAACATCCTTTCCAAGCCATGTAGTTACAAACTTGGTAATTACCAATGAGTCGTTACCGAATACCGAGAATAAAATAATTGTCCTTAAGAATAAAATGCGAAAAAGTAAAACCGAGTTCAATGATCAACGGCAAATGCTATCTTTATTTTCTTTTAAGAGATACTAACAAGGGTCTACTGAACTGTAGTAAAATACATCTCTGCTACATAAAAAGCTCAAGTCTACATTAAATTGTTAACTTTACGTCATTTTGCCCGTTCTTTGTCTATATGTATTTCCAGTATAATTTTCGTTATTCCTTCCCGCTTGATCGGTTATGCGCAAAAACTCCAAAGATCAGTCCATATAATCTGGATATAGACTATTTTTCCATTGCTGCATCCACGCCAGTAGCTTATTTCCTGCAAGTTCAACTGCTGTAACTTCAAAATGGACAGATGCAAGTTATCATTTTAAACTGAAAAGGCTCTGTAGGTTTTTTGACGAAGCAGATCCACATACAAGTGTTTCTCACTGAGTTTACTTTATAATATTATCGCCTTTCCCTTCCATCTTAGGTCATTTCTTGGCCTGAGAAAGAACAGCATTAAATTAGTTTCCTTCGCATCGTAAAACCCAAGGATGACAGCGTATGGCCCCGAAGTTCCTGCCATGCAGCTTAACCCGTCTTTAGTTTCTCGTACAAAGGAACAACGACGAATTTCCATTCTCTTCCTCTCCCCATTGATGAACGACATTTAACTGTAAAACTACATTTTTGCTCCAAAAAGAACTCGAGCTTACCGACGTTGTCTGTTCTCAGACAGTCATGGACGTCCAAGGCGGTCTGAATCATGCATTTGTTTCCCTGCCGTTTATACCAATCAGAAAGCGTTGATCTACTCACGTCATTTTTTAGGGCAGGCAAGTCACGCAACTTTTGTTGCCCTGAGTCACTATAAATGGTGTGGACGACTGACTGAAGATTCGGATTTTTTCTTTCATCTTTACGCATTTGAAACAATACACGTACCAGTGTTTCAGTGAAGTGAGTGTTTCCAGGGTAGACTTTTGAAATAATGCCCTTCTTCATTGTGGTGATTAGACTGATGAAGATAGACCGATAAACCAAATTTTGTTAAACGCCCTCATATTTTCTTTATAAACAACCCGCTTAATACGGACACCCGTTATTGCGGACAACGGCCGCTTGTTTCTTGCCCAATCAACAGATTCCATAGAAGGTCAAACTCGCTAATACAAACACTTTATTATCAACTGTGTGCTGTAATGAGCCGTTTCGCCGTTCTTCATTGCAGTTGTAAAACCGATATTAGAACTACATCACTTGGCTCGCTTATGTGAAATCATGACACCGGACCAACAGCTCACCTGTTCACGAATGCCGAAAGTACAGTCGAACGGAACCCCGCTTTATGGATACCTCGTTATTACGGACATTTTTTTGTCCCGGCTGGGGACAGCTCATACATTTTCTCTTAATTCAACTCGCTTTACAGACAACCGTTAATGCGGACAACGGAAGTGTTTCTTGCTCAACACTTCCCAACTCTGTGTCGTAACTTACCTTTCCTTTTCTTAAGGTAAAAAAACCTTCTGTTACGGAGCATGTCGATGTTCCCAGTGCTACGATAAACCGAATAGAATAATTTGTAGACGTCAGTTTCAGACTATTTTCAGGAATCAAACTATGGAGACTTTAACTTGAAGATGCTAATATCCTCCGTTAATTCTTTCTTATTTTATTCTAATTAAAAGTGTTTTGTGACTTTTGAAAATAACATGGCCCCTTCAGTTGTAGAGTCTCGATTGCTGGACTCACGAATGTGCATCATCGAAGCCGCGTCAGTCTCGTGCGAAATGATAACGTCCCAGATGATCGATTACTGTTGACAAATCAGTCATTTGAGTCATGTTAGTTTTTCTGCATTTCAAATTTAATTCCGAGTTCCCCCGGGCCTCTGTTTCAAAACGAGGGTAGGAGCTCAGCCTTTGCCATGGGAATCATGTTTCATTCTATGCATGTGCGAGTAAAACGCATTTGAAACTCGGAAGTGCATGGCCTACTTGGAAGGATCACGGCGGATCACTTTGCACGTGCAAGATTAAAATATAAAGGCGTTGATTGGTTGTACGTGTTGTTGAAATATAAATAATCCATTAAGGATGTCACTAAAGTCTTATACAACGGAAAGTGAAGGACAGAAATCCTGAGTAAACGGCCTCGTCGGTAGCGAAATAATCAGTATAAGGCAACAGAGCAGTTTTAAACTTTGAGTATCCAGCGAGGTCCTTATGTCACTTCTGGAACAATGAACACCAATCGGTAGGTTCAAGTTAAGGCTTATATTTTCGCGTACGGAGGCGTAGAGCCCGTCAGGTACGAACTAGCCGGGCGGAACAAGTCTTGAACATGATCTTTATAGCAGCCTTCAGAGTCTTTAGTTTTTCCCGTGGTGCCTTTTTTTTAAATTTTAAATTCAACCCATGGCTGAGATTCCAATCTGGCTTAGCTTAAAAAAAGGGCTCAGAGAACACTAAACTTTTAAAAGAATTAAATTAACTTTATACTATTGCATGCTATTATTCTATTTTTTAAAAGTTTTAAACTGGATCGCCCAAATTATGTTTTCCAGTTTTGTACACTTCAGTTTACTAAATACACTTTACGAGGCATGTGATCGAAGTTAAGAGTCTCGCATAAAACAATCTTATTCTTTCCCCGCCTCAGAAGGGATCCCGAATCATTGTGAAACTAGCCAATCAGAAAAGGCTAACTGAGCTAGTTATTTCCGCTCACAGAAGACGAATTCAGTAGTCTACTTCAAGATAAGAAGCCGAGAAGTCCCTTGCATTGAAAATTGGTGTTTTCGTAGAAAACAAAGTGAGACAGGGAATCAATTTTGGTTACATTTCGTAGAATAATTAATAGTTACGCAGCAGATCAGAGGTTTTGCAAGTATGACTACCGCCAGAAGGCCGCTATGTACTAGAACTACAGAGATGAGGGATCAGTGGGTGAGCTGGGACACATGGGGGCTTACGGCATTTTGGTAATTAAGTTTTTTTTCAAGCGGTATTTTTGTAATTTTTATTTTAATGTGGGGTATTGCCGTATCATCTAGCCCTTCGGTATGCGGTTTTTCATCATTTTAGCCAACGCAGTTGGTACGGTTTTGCGGTAACGGTTCATTTGCGCCCGCCTGCATGCTTTAGATAAACAAACACGAGAGATGGATACAACTTGAAATAAGCGTGACAGATCATAATTGCGATATCGGTATTTCGTCGATGTTCGACACCGTGATTTCGGTATTGCTATTTTTTCTTACGGTATTGCGGTATTGCGCCCCCCTCCTTCCCCCACCTTAATGTCCCTCTCCTTCCAACACCTGTGTTTATAGGAAGCGAAGAAGTTTGCAGTGCCATTAATCTTTTATTTTTATGCAAAAGCTAGACTGCAAGATTGAAGTGGCTTCTCTTAAAATCTTAGAAGGCGTTTTAGCCATGACTCCGCTGGTGAGAGAAGGCAGCAGATATCTCTTTTGCAATGATTTGTGACAAGTCAAATGTCTTGTGCCAGTTAATTCCGCGAAAAAAACTTTTTCTGCATTTTTGTTATAATTATTATCAGTAAAAAAGCTACTCCTATCCAGTCTAATCATTGAACTGAAAACATCCCTCCGTCGAATGTACTTTCTCCACACACATTTCAACCAAACTAGTTGTCTTACTTTGCCGGAATTAAATCGAGGCCCCTTAAGCCCTTAAATCTAAATTGCTCAAACAGACCAAAAAATCCATCGACACTGCTAAAAAGAGAACTTAATTTTCAGCTTTCGAGAGATATTTTTGAGAAACAAGCAAATATATAGCTCAGTAAATACGCTACTGAATTTCACAGGGGTGTTCCACACGAGGTGGTCCGGAGCAGGAGCCTATCCGTGTCTGCTGGAGGACATTACGATAGACGAAAGTTACGTTTGCCCACATGTACACTGATTTTGTGTCTTCGCCGAACCATATCTTTGTTAATTGTCACTCTCAAAGTTAGCGAACTTTATTGATTTTCCAGCGGTTTCGGTTAATTTTCGCATACTGGTTTATTTCTAAAGTTGACAAAACCGTGTAAGGGTGGACGGATGGATACGATTTTCGTGTGCCTTGAGGTGGTGTATGAAAGTGTTTAATGGCGATTAAACACAAACATTTTTATTATAAAAGTATAAATGCCATAGATCAAGGTATTTTAAGCTACATCGAAAACTTAAGTTGTCAACGGAAACCTTTCATGATCTGAAATAATGCTTGGATACTGAGTGATCGTTCTCCACTGAATTTTTTCGCATCCTAAGTCCAAGATTAAGCAGCATTTGATTTAATGCTTTGTTTTTGTCTGTGAGGTGCCGGATTAATGTCGGAGGTTGTGTCATTCTCGATGTGGAACTGCTGTGGAAACCGCTTCAATTCCTCGTTTGTTTTCTTTCACTTATTTCCCAAAAGAGAAGTCCACTTATATTAAAACTGAAGTTTAAGGACACTAAAGTTAAATTGTTTTTATAGCTCAGTGATGAGTCGTTCAGGTTTGCATTTGTAAATGTTCTAATAGTTTTGTACATTTGAACCAATAAGAAACCTTCCATGATCTGATGAAGTCACTCAGTTCCAAGGCAGGTCACGCTCAGGTGACTTGTAAATTGTATCTGTTTGTGGACTTAGGGCCTGTTTACATGGAGGTGGGGAACCCCAGGTAGATGAGGTAACCCGCCTGTCCACATAATCTCTCATATTAATTTGATCACGTTGACATGATAGGTGGGGTCCCCAACCTCCATGTAAACAGGCCCTTAAGCAGCTGACTTTTAAGTTAACTTCTATTCTCTTCAGCCCTTCAGTGAACAGTATTTTACAATGTCAAACTACATATTTACTCCAAAAAGAACCCCTTGTTGGTTCTCAGAATCGTAGAAGTCTGAATCATGAATGTCAGGCAACTAATATATATTATATCGCCATGCATGCCGTGTATATGTACGGTGTCGACTGACTCAAGACTGTCTTATCTTTTCTTTCATCAAAGTGTTCACTCTTTTATAATACGCACTCGGGTAGAGCGCTTTCGACTCTAAGCGGATAAGCGAATATTCTGACGCTCATGAACAGTCGGGAGGCTTTGAGTTCTTAAGTGGGCTGAAATGGCGAGGGACTCGCGCATTTGTGACAATGATACTTAAGTGAGAAAGTTTTTTATTTTCACGCAATCCTACGTTTTGGAGCTGCGAGGATTGAAAATTTATCTTTCCTGTTATAGGGTATTGTTTGTCAGCTATTGTTTCTTCGTGTGGATACTGTTCAGTCTTTTGTATAACTTCATTAGGGTGATTCCCCTCATCTTCAAGTCCATGATTGTTGTGACTACGTTATCGTGATTTTTCGCAGTCATAACAATCTCTCAGCCAATCAAAAGGTAAGCAGTTTCTGTAGCCGGGATAAAATGAAACGACCTGGGGACCAACAATCAAGGACACTCAAACTGGGTTACACTGTTCTGTCTTTCTCTCTTCCAATGTTGTTTTCTAATGGTTTTACGATGGAATTGTCCAAGTTCGAGGTCAACATTGAAAGGAACGGGGAAAAGGAGGTCCAGCGCAACATGTCAACGTCATTCCTTCACTGAACTGAACTGACCCAAGTTCTAATGTCACCGGGATTGTAGCTATCTTCGTTATCATAAAAAGAAGTAGAACACTTATAAAACTAGAACTTGGAACAATCTATGTGGAGCTGGAAGAGCTGTGAAAGCCGGAACGATTTCCACTCGATAGGTGAAAACACTGCGAGTTCCTTCTGATACAGAACCTGTTCAGGCCTGCAATCACGTCTGTTTTCAAGGCCGGGCAATTCATGAAAAGACTTAACAGATAAAATCGATATCAAACATGAGTAAAACATAAAGAAGGTCAACCTATTTGCAAATAGGCAGCTGGCTATGGACAATAATAATATCAGAATGTATATTATACTGTGACATTCTAATTTTCTTTTACTGACTCTCCCCCATCTTTCCTATCTTCTGATTCAAGATATCCTCGTCGACTAATGGAGCTGTCTGTGGAGGTTCACCGCATGCGGTATGACGCTTATGAGATGCGACCACATCGTCAGCTGGACAGAGGAGTGACACTGGCGATCAACGAGAGGACCAGACCCCCTGACTGTCAGGATGGAACACTAACTAGGTACTCTGTCGAGGAGACAAACCCATGGCATGGGCAGGCCCAAGAAGACGAACGCATGGGTACATTTTCTCTCCCAAGACAAATAACAGTAAGCAGGTTAGTATACTTACGGCGCAAACAGCGTCTGAACAATCTGATTCTGTTACTCCAAATAAGCAGTGGTATATGGCAAGGTGCACTCCTACAAACTAGGTACCATGTATAATCTAATAAAGTGAACTACAGAGAGGGGAGGGTCGGTCCGTTTATCGATAGTCACGTCATGATTAACGGGCCCGGAAAGTTGTTGTTGTTTACATTTAAGAAAGAGACTGGTTTCCTTTGATAGCCAGGAACCACGCTCTTGTTCTTTAGATTTTCATTTGAGTATATGAATTTTAACCTCGTCCCAGGGCTTTCACCCCCTCAAAGGGAAAAGCCCTTAGGAGGATTGGGGACGAGGTTGTTTGAATTCGGGGCTTTTGAGAAACGAGCCCCAGGTCGCTCGAGGCCTCTCATAGCCACACCGTACGCGACTGAAAATAAGGCTATACGTACGTTGTTCAGTGAAAACAATGTGGTGGAATTGTTTTACTGACTTATCGGCCACCAAATGGGGGTGATCCAAATCGCTGAATGGTCAGATTACGGTTCAGCCTACCTACTGAAAAAATTTTGTTTTTCTCAAACTGAGTTGCTTCTATAACTTCGATGATCCACTCAGTTACTTCTAGTTATCCTTCGAGTTGTATTATAGATGTTTTTTATATATTCATTATTTTATCTTCATCTTCCATGGGTTTACAACAAACCACTGAACCAAATCAGACCAGCCCCCTTGGTTAATTTGTAAGCTCAATTCAGGGTTAGACTGCGCGCGCTGCACCGGTCATGGTATTGCAGAGGTCCAAGGTTTCGAGGTCTTACTAGCCTAAATTTTACGACTGCGTTAAAGGTTCCTTCTTGCTGCTATGATGTTCTGCATTTAATTTTTTATTGACTTTATCCTGCAGTTCTATATGTTCATATATACATTGTTTGTTAATCACCGTTTCAAATCCTTTTTGACAGATTAAAAAGACGGTCAGTCTGACCAATTTTAACAGTTTTCAAAAAATAACTGACGTAATGATAAGGCTGTTTTTATTTCCATAGGTCAAGTCCCCCAGAGCCGATGTCGTCTTTAGGTCAGAACTGTGGTGGAGAGTATATTTGGAAGATAGTCGGTTTCTCTCATCACATTCAGGATGCTAGAAATGGAAAAATAACATCACTCGAGAGCCCTCCGATTTACACAAGCCAACAAGAATACAAGTTCTCCATGCATTTGTTCCTGAAAGGTGTTAATGGTGGAGACGGACGCCACATTGGCCTTTTTGTTGGCATGATGCAGGGAGAATACGATACTATTCTGGAATGGCCCTTCTCTGGACGAATCGTTCTCACCATCAAGGATCAAAGTACTGATGTTAATGGCTTCCGCCATGATATCAGTGACACTTTCGTGGCGAATAGAAATCTGGGTGCTTTTCAGGAACCCACTGCTGCCGGGCGATACAGCACCCTGTATGGCTACGCAGAGTTTGCGCCCACAGCCCTGGTTTGCTCCCCACAGTACTTAAAATATGATACAGTGATGGTTAAGATCGAGATTCATAAAAACATCTAAACATTTTTCTTTATAAGAATGCACAACGTCTAGGATGTAAGAACTCCATAAAATGATTTTGACTCTTTTTAAATCAAAATACAGCCAAAATGGAAAAACCGCAAGAGCAAGCTTCAATTATTCAGTTATTGCAGTAATTTTTATAAAGAAATGTTAGTGCAATGAAAGATATAGCTCTTAACTTCGCGTTAGGTCTTAGATATTTAGTTTATTAATATTTTCTAAATGTTTTTCAGTTTTTTACCATTCTACCGTGATACTTCTTTAATATAATGACAATTTAACACAAACCTATATCTAAACCCTTTTTAAAAGCGCTGAGGCTGATTAGCAACAAAATTCTCCTTTTAATGTCAAAGCGTCAGAAAACAGTGTGGTAACGAAGGCGGAAACAAGTAGAATTCTTTGACACAGTTTGACAACTTCTTGTCCCCACTTCATCCATAATACTGAAATGTACAGGGACAACAAATGAGATTATAAATTTTGATATTAGGGCTTAAAAGGGACCCTCGCATGATGTTTGTTCAAAAGAGGTGTCTGTTTGATACATATGTTTTATAGAAAAAAAAATTGAGAAGAAAATTTCGTGACTCGATGACGCTTTAGTGGATGCCTGACTGGAGAATGAGACTTTTCTACATGAGCGGGGAGCGTCGGGTTATTATGGGTCCCAACTATCGCTAGAGTTCAATGCTGCACATGCAAATACCTACAATAAATATATCTTTGCAGCATTATTGCTATAAGAGCCTTGATGTTTGCCCGTACGTTACTTCGTTTTAGTTGTAGCCGAAAGATTTTACTGTATAGTCTATTTCTTTAACGCTAGAAAATCACCTTTATCGTTATTTTTGCGTGGCAGCAATGATTATGATGTTAATATATGCATCAAAATTTGTAACATTGGTGTGCAATCATACTGATATCGCATCGATTTGAAACTGCATTATACTGCGTATAGTTACCGAAGGTGATAATTGTTTGTTCCTCGTAGAAGCTAGGCCGGAGGTTTGTGTAGGGAGTGTAGGGTATCAGAGACAGTGGTGGAAGTTTCCCGTTATTTTTTTGGTGAAGACTTATATTCCGCAATGTAGTCATAGTGTATAGCTGTAAATTATGAAGGGGTTGGCGAAAGGTTTTCTTAGATATAAAATGTCACGTCATTTTAAAAACATCGGCACTTGTCAGTTTAGGTTCCAATGAAGGAGGTGAAAGCGCGCGTCCGCCTCTACGGAGTGGTGCTTGCCGTGGAGCTGTAATTCTCTTTTGCCAAAAGGTTTGATGGAGATGATTCTTTCGCCATCCCTATTTTATACATAGAAAAAGGCTTTTGTAAAGTAAAAAAGAGAGTAAAAAATGCTCAGCTATTGTGTAGTATCGTTTGTAGTGTCTAAAATCAATAAAGCAAACGTTAAACGTTGCGCATTATTTTTTTACTTTCGAACTACATGTACGTTTGATTTCATAATATAATTATAAGAGGCTTGTTTCATTGATTTCAGTCTGTTAGATGACCATCAAGGATCATAGATCAACATGTAAATAATCCCTGACTTCCATTCTTCTTTCATCGTTTTTTAAGAGAAAAGATTCGTCCCAATGATCCGCTCATCCCATCCCGTCCGGACCCCGCCTCATTCCACGCTCCGTTTCTCATAGTTTTTCCTAACGAGTTCTAAAGAAAAAAGAATGAACTCCTCTAGAGCCTGAACCTTGCAACTAAAAAAAACTTTGACACTTCTGTAGACGAAAGGGAAAAATAAAAACATAATTATGAGACTAGGGTAATGGTCACCAGAACCAAGGCACGTATTTTGGGAAGCTTCCAGACGAGGAAACTGACACGAAACAATGGAAACGTGAGGTATAATAGGGAAGAGAAGGATGGTCTGGTGGCTCTCAGGGACGAGAATGTGGTTTCCTTCAGCTCAAATAAGGAGGGTTGGGGATTCACTTTGGATGGTGGGGTCTTCCCTCTTTCTGGCATCAAGGCTGAGGTGTTTCTATTGTTGTTCAACCGTCGGCTAGGACCATTTCGGGATGAAAACATAGTAAACAACAAAATTCTATAAGATCTTTTATAACAGGCCAGGAGCCCATGAACAGGCCTGTTTGTCCAGATGTTTCCGTTTTTTATTAAAATCTTGCTACATAAAGAAGAATAGTGCATTTAATGTAATCTCTAGGCCTTTCCCTTAGCTGTGGGAGATCTGGGTACGAGATTACATGTAAGTATCATTTGCGGATATATTTCTCCTGGACTATTGATTTTGTTAAATTTTTGCTCAATTTTGGAATTTTCTGACGCAGCGAATCTTTACATACCCGATTATCCTATGAGTAGCTGTACCCCTCCTCCACTTCCGCAGAGAGAATAGGGCCCTCCACTTCCATTGTCTCTCCGGGGGAGGGTACGGCTACAGGTAGGCTAGTCTGAGAGACAGGTAAGAAAGGATCCGTTGTGTTCATTGTGTTGTGTCTGAGAGAACCCTCTCCCCATTCAGGGCCCAAGGGGGTCCCGGAAGGTCAGATTCAAACCCTAACGTGAAGTCACTGTTCAGTGTGATGGTCTTGAGACGTTTTCTCGTTGCTTTGTGGTTTGTTGTCGCCTCTTCATGGCTCAAGAATGTTTCAAGAGAAATATGGAAGCAATTCCCTGGAGGTAAGGTGTGTTTTCTAGTGATTTTAAGATCCTCGATGTCCTATAATAAAGTGGTAAAATGTTTTTTTCTTTTGGCTGACAAGTAAAAACTAGCAGTCGAGGCTACTGAACCAGGCAATAAATAAGTCTTAACGGTAACAGGACTGAGTGAAGCACATCAACCTGTGAGTGAATAAACTAAAAAGAACCAAAATATTGAATTGCCTCACAATAAATCATGTTTTCAGAATAACTTTGCATTGTACAATACTTGCTCCCAATTTCATTGGATACATAAGCTAATAATACATTAAATTATTGGCTCCAATAGTCGTTTATAAAAGCAAACATTAAGGCACTTGCTTGCATTAATAAACGATGAAACAAAAGTAAAGACAAAAGATGCAAGAGTAGACATATTTAGGTAAATACAGATATATTGATTGCATTCATGAGAAATGTGCAAAAGAGGTGAAAAGTTATAGTTACATTTACAATGTGCTTACATAAGTTACAACTAAAAATAAAATTACATTTGTTTTAGAGGGACTGGGATTACAGGCTATTTATAAGTTATTTACAATTCAGATATAGATGAAGGACAATACTAGAGATAACTAGACTCGTAAGATTAGTTAAGTTTCGCCATTGCAGGGAAAAAACTAGAACCAAAGCGTTTTGTTCTATACTGGAAGCGGCTAGAACTGCTACTGTTCCTGATGGTAAGAGTGTATTAGAGGTGAGAGTCTACTAAATTGTACATACTTTGTACACTTTTTATACTTAATTAACAACATTTACAAGAAATACTCCAACACAACATCATGTAATGGTTTACAGGGAATAAATAAAGATATTGTAAATTATATATATTAAGGCATTTTTTTCGCTAGGTATTTTTTTTTATTTTTCTTTACTCATTGTAAATAATTCATTGGTTTGTTAATATTATTATTTACTTTTTTGTAGATACTTTTTACTTTGTAGGTCCACATCAGCTCTTTAGCTGCCTTTTTTACTGACCTACATGACAAATAAAGTATGTATGTATGTATGTATGTATGTATGTATGTATGTATGTATGTAAATACTTGTATTCTGGGTAGAACGTATTCCGTAGAGCGCTCAATTCATGTATGTATGTATGTATGTATGAATTTTTGTATTAAATAACAACTGCAAAAAAATTTCAGTAAGAAAAAGATTTAAAATTTACAGATATAAAAAATAATTGTCTCTAAAAAAGTTAAAATAAATTTCTCTAGTCTAACAAATCTTACTATCATGATGGGAGCCAAGGCTCTGTGGAAAAATTGCAGGGAGCCTGTGAAATACAGGGCACCCAGAATTATGATCTTTATGCAAAAACAAAAGAGATTTCCAAGTAGCTTTTTTTTAAGCAACATTATAGGGGCTTGGGGGGCTAAGGTTGTACAGCCTTACATGGGACCAATATGCGATATTAACAATATTGTCATTACTTTCAAACTAATTAATAAATAATTTATCATAATACTAATATCATAGGTGACGAATTACTCCTTTTATTTTGGCACGAAATTTCAGCGTTAATATGTAATTTCACATGTGAAATTACAAAATTGCCATGGCAACCCTTCCGTACGTCTCAGTGTCAAGATGGTGACGAAGTTTTAAATGACGTGAATAAAGATGTCAGGGCACAAAAAGACGCTTTAGAAAACCTGAACACACAAGAGAACATCAAGAAGGATTCTCAAAGGTATTTTGCCGAAAAAGTCTAAAAAATTCTGAACTTCATAAGCCAAATTTAAGGTCTAGACATTTGAGAGAGTGGAGTTCTCGATCGATATGATCCAGGATGAACATGTCAAAAATCCAAGATTGTTCACGTAATTCGTCACCCATGATATTAATAGGTAATCAAATGGTACAATCTTGAAATTAGGAAATAATTTCACTTGCGTTTTGTCCAAATCCAAATAATTTCCCGAGCCTTTATTTGGACAAAACACGCGTGAAATTATTCCCTAATTTCACTCGTCACCATTTGATTACACATACTAATTATGTTTACTTGGTATCATTGGTCAATAACCTATTATTATTTTATTGTAAAGGAGATAAGTCATGAAATCTATTAAAATTCAAACAGTGGGGAGCTCCTACCAAATAATTAATTGAGTGAGACATTAAAATAACAGGTCAAGACTTTAAGAGAACAGTTTTTCAAATGTTTTGTCATCTGTAATAATTAATTATTTTTGACCAGGAGACATATCCAGTTCAACTTTAAGCTGTAATTTTGTAATTTACCAGTAATTTTGTCATTGACGCTAAGTTCCATTCTGAGGAAGGACATTTAATATTTGCAATATTAGCAAAATGAACCAGAAAACTGTGACACAGCCCCTTTAACCCACATGGAAGTGTCTACAAATCAAACAATTCTGATGTTCCTAAGTCATATATATGCCCATACTGCCTCATTCTACAATGATTTTTGACACAAAATGAGACAATACCATAACTCATTAACAAAAGAACTAAAACAGAAATTACACTGACTACTATCAACACTGTATAATCGTGTTTGTGTTCCTTTAGCAGATGCTGCACTGCTTGTAATGAGCCATTGTTTGGCGCTGGTTCAATGCCCAGTAAATGACACATAAGAGAGTATATATTCACATTTTCAAATGGTTCTGAAACAAAGCCTTCTTTGAATGCAGGTCCTTGGGCAAGAAAAAAGGGGTGCATATCAGGGAATTGGTTACTGTAGCCATGGTTACCACGACTGTCTATTCTCGACTTGTTTTTTGTAATGGTCCATCCTTCTTCTGCGACAATGAAAATCGGCATGACACGTCGGTTATGGCTGTAATGAAACTCTTCAGGTATTTCTTCTTTGAGGTATGTATATAGATGTGGAACAGTCTTGAGCTTTTGGTAGGTGCCATTCAACTTTCCCTTCTTGGGTAGAATATGAAAAAACACATTAGAAGGATGGTCTGCCCTGTTTGGATCAGTGATGAGAGTATACCAGTCTGATGGAATGTAATGATCCAGCTGGATAAGACGGGAGTTGTTGACATCTGCCATGCCATGGTCGCTTGTGATAATAAGGTTTACCTAAAATGGGTCATATAGATACAATGGAACTATATTTAGATCCATGAGTTACCTAATTATAATAATCTTATGGGACACGTAAAGAGTTACTACACCTTACCACATATATAACATATCACAAGCATTTACGAAAAGACACCCTCTTCATAACTGAATAAATCCAGTACAACAAATGAAGAGCAAAACAGTATGTTTTTTTTGTCCTTCACCTATCTCAACCAACTTTACTGGCAGGAATTTGTCGGAGAGTGGTTGGAGAGGAATAACTTTTCAAAATAAAGTCTGTATTTAAAGGTATGTTTTAACACTTGAAACAAATGTGCGTATGATGCATACTTGAATGGATTTTATTTTTTAAAAAAGGAAGGAAAGAAATATTTCTTCAGCTCAGCTTTAAATAATGATATGAAAACGAATACAAGGCTTTTTGCCCCGGCAGGGATTTCGCCCAGAAGGCGAAATCCCGAGGAGGCACTCTAGTAACTTGCGCGTATATTACGGAAAGTACTTACAGTTGAAATATACAGTCAAACACTCAATTTAGAAAAAATCTTGATTTGCTTGAATGGGGCTGCAAGGAATCGGTAGGTAATGATGACGTTTCTATTGTTTGCGCCCGCAAGTACGAAATGGTTAGGATGACGTAAAGACAGATCATCCCCAAGGGACCACTTAGGTAGATTTTGTGACATTTATAGTGCAGTCATACTTCAACACTTTTTTGCGTTACATGTTATCAGTGACATTCTGTGGAGCAGTTGTTTCAGTGAAAGTTATGGACCAAAATTTTAACGACACTCGTTAAGCGCAGAAGAAGTTATAAGGTGCATATAACTGTGTATATATAAACACTTGGAGAGTTTGCCAGACACAAGTTCACAAATCTTTCATTGGAAACCTTTGCCAGACACTCTTTCTCTCTCTTTGACCGGAATATTAATAAGCAAGACGAGTGAACAGCAACTGCTAGCTTCTCACTAGCATATCAATAGACGATTACAGAAATTCGCCGACAACCAAATTCTGTGCTGACTTATTCCCTGCTCACGGATGACCTTCTGCTATAAAACTTTAAAATAAGACTAGAATGCGTGAGTGTGAATTGATCAAACCTCCTTTCAATTTCTAAGGCTTCCTTTCCGGCAAATAAAATGAACTGAATGTAAAAAGTGAAAGAGAAATAGCAAAAAATTCAACTTCTTATTAAATCTTTTCTTATGGTTTAGAATAAACTATTCTCGAAACTGAGAATGTTTTGATCAAAGCTGTGTAAATCAACCTGAAACTGTGCATGGAACCTTGCATTTCCTGTATTTATCTCACCTATTGTGTGGAATATAATCTTCCTTATGAATTGGTATATTTCAAAGAGCTACACAACGAGCAAGAATACTATTGACCGGCAATATACCGAACAGGGGCAGCTGTAGTGTCAACTATTACTAGTGACATATATATATAGAGAAACAGTGATTCAGTCCAGTGTTCTCATGAAGTGTTCTCTTTTTAAGGAGTTTTTTCTTCTTTGTTCTTGTTTTCAAATTTAGTTTTTATGTTTTAACTACGTTACGTCATCCGTTATCCTTCCCTCAAGGAAAACGTTCATAAAACTTGTGAAAACAGGTCGATTTCCCTTTGTATGCATCAACGGATGTAGCAAAAAATGTATATGTGGTTGATCAGAAGCTCGGGGGTGGGGAATTGTCTCTTTCTGCGTGCCCGGGAGTGGGGAATAGACCTCTAGGAAAGAAAAATATTGCAAATCCCCACGGGTGTGCCTGGGGGGGATGGTTACAAGTAAAATTGCTGCATGCATATCATAATACGAGATTTAGTTTTGTTTGTGACACAAGCCAGCAGCAGACAATGCTAAGGAGGGAAAGGGCTCCGTGATGCCACACCATAAGTGTAATCAAGCTTAAATAAACGTCATCATCGCGTACATAATTGTTGATGACACAATTGTCGTCAGCTGATGTCAACCTTTCACAGTAAACTGATTGATTTGGTTATTATTTAAGCTTAGATCTTACCTGATTCAACAATCCGCGATTTCGTAAACTTTCCAACAGATATCCAGTGACATTATCCATTCTACGAATAACACTTTTAATCTCTGGTGAATTAGGGCCAAATTTATGCCCACTGTGATCTGGCTCGTTAAAATAAGCGGCCAAAAAGCTTGGAGGATCATCCTGCTCTAACATTGTACATAAATAATCTATTCGTTTCTCGAAGGAAAGTGACCGACTATAGGGTAAATAGTGTGTAGGGTATTGGCCTTCTATTTTCACCTCTGAACCAGGCCAAAACAGCACAGCACTTTTCTTAAAAGCTTTTTGATTCGTGATCCACACCGGTTCTCCGTTCCACCATTTTGAATCCAAGTAATGCTTTGACACCGCATCTAAGTAGAAAGTGTCGTTGAAAACAGGATCGAAAAACGTATTTGCTACGATCCCGTGGCTTTCCTCATAAAGTCCTGTAACTAACGTGAAATGATTCGGGAATGTCTTGGTAACAAAGGTATTGATAAGGTGTTTCGCTTTGATGCCATTACTTGCGATAAAATTCAAATTCGGAGTATGAACTTTCGCCATGTAGTCCCACCGGAAACCATCGTACGAGACCAAAATTACAGTGGGTTGTGTCAGAACGATTCTCTTATTAATCGAGGCGATGGCGTTACGATTAGGAAGAAATAAGAATAATATCAACATGTGCAATCGGTCCAGCCTCATAATGGCAAATTTTGGGAACGGTACGAAAGCCACTGCAATTTCTCGTTTTCCAATAACGAGAAGACCCTGGTGACGAGTTCCCACCCGTGAACTTGCTCTGGAAAGCTGACGTCACTTAATTATTGTCTAAACTGCATAAGGTTAAGTTCAGTGAGTCAGGTAAGTTCAGTCCGCAAGAAGAATTTTTTTCCCTTATATTTGAAGATTTCCAAGTATGAGTTCCCAAAGCGTTCCTTGTATCTCAACTGGGACAAATTTAAACAATCGGTAAGTTTACAAGGCTTTTACCAGTTTTATTAGTTAGCCGAACGTGCAGCATAAATATTGCCACGGCGGATTATATTCTAGTGTTAGTGTTAGTTGTGTTTAGTCTTGACAAAGAGATTCTGAAATGGCTTTCCATTTGCCCAAAATATTCTCGCAAGTTGCCCAAATCATTTTTTTACGACCGAAAAAAATTCAAAAACAAAAACATCGCCCCAAAATGAGGAAAATGTTTTCCTTCTTATTCGAATGACTCAAGAAGACGAAAGCCAAGTAGAGAAACTACAGGTTGGGTAGCTTAATTCAGGTGGAAAGTGGAAAAGTAGACTTGAGTGAGTGTACCAAGCTTAGTGTCGATGAAAGACTGGTTGCTCCGGACATGCTCGGCTACAGAACTTTCGTAGTCATTTAAAGCGTTGGGTCATGGTGAAAAAAGTTTAGCGTCTCGTAAGCTCTTGTAATCTCTCGGTGCGAGTAGACCTGAAACCTGGAATGAATATTCCAGCACAAATGCCCTCCTTATATACTGTGAAAACGAGCGAACAATAGTTCGTAATTTGAAAGTGTAAGACCAAATTCTGGACAAAAAATACAAAGAATATAACACATACTCAGCATACTTGCTATGTCACATTTCCTGTTCCTCGAGCGACCGCGCGCCCTTTAAAAGTTGGCGCCAAAATTTATACACATATTCATTGTAACCGGTCCTAGAGAAAAATAATCGGTCATATTATCGGTTGAATTTTTAAGGTTTATTTTTTAAATTATTTACCACTAAGCATGCTAAATAAAATGAACATTTAAAGTTAATTTTGAGCAAAAATTGGGGTAAGGGATCCCTTTCGCCTTAGCTAAGCTAAGAATATATAAAAATAATACCAAGTCAATGTTGACAAGCAACCAGTGACAGCAAAATATTCACTTAAAAGATGCAAAAAGAAGATAGCAAGAACTTAAATCAAGGAATCGCTTAAAATAGTGATAAAATAAGATTTTGCAATTTGTCTGGCTCAGTTTAATTTACAGAGATATATGTCACGACAGCATAATAAACTGCTCTTTACGTGCAAACCAATATGAATTCCCTAATTTAAAAAACTACGAATCAAAATTCGTAGATAGACATGTCACGGTTTTCACTAAAGTAAGCTGCACAGACTGTTTTCGTGTGATTCAAACACAAAGAGAACATTACAAGTACTGAGCCATGTATCGGGCGCGAGTACTAACACTATTTAATAACGTTTAAAAGATCGTTCGCCTCCCCATAATGAGTTAATAGCTTTTCCCATGTATTTACAAACTTGATAATTACCAATGAGTCGTTAACAAAAAGGTATTTGTATTTTAGAATGAAAATCTGATAAAATGAAACCAAGTTCAGTGGAGCAGAGTAAAATACATGATCAATTAAAGATACTTTTATATTTTGTTAAGAGATGCTACTGAATTAAGGAAATTATATCCCCGCTTCCAAGAATGATGTTCTGTTCAAGTTAACTGATTAACTGTGTGCTAAAAAAGATCTAAAGAAAACAGCTTAAGTCTGTATAAAAATGAAGTTAACTTTACCTTGAACGTTCTTAGCTGTTCTTTGTCTACACTGATGTATTTCAAAGCATACATATAGCTTTCGTAATTTCTTCCAAGTGGATCGGTTAATGTGCAAAAACTCCAAATATCTGAATGTAGACTACTGATTAATAATTTTCCTTTCCTACGTGTTTTGCTTAACGCACCCACGCCAGTTGTGTATTTAATTCAAGTTCAACTGATGTAATTTCAAAATGGACAGATGCAAGTTATTTTCCACCGAACTGATAGGTTCTGTAGGTTTTGTGACGAAGCAGATGCACACAAGTCGGTTTCTGACTGAGTTCACTGTGCCCTTATAATATTAATATGCCCTGCTATTCCCTGCCATGTTGGGTAATATCTTGGCCTGATAAAGTACACCATTAGTTTCCTTCGCCCGCGGAAATCCAAGGATGACCAACATAAATTTACAGCTTTGAACAAATCAATGGCGGAAGTTACAGCGTCGTAACATGGTATATCCGGGGCCCACTGATCCCTATTTTCTTGCGGTTATTTTGATCCCTGAGCCCCATTTTCCCCAAAATTTTGATCCCTGAGCCCTGATAAAAGCATTGATCCCATCCATGTGTTTACACAAAATTTTAACTTAGGCAACTTTGTGAGGTTACAAACGCAGTCGTAAACGGCAGGAAAAGGGAAGCAAATACGATTGAACTCAACAGACAAGAATAAAGAACAGGTAGATTTTGTTAATAAACCAAATCAACATTTAATTATTGAATCGAGGCCCAATTTGATTGTTGGATTATTCATTTTATGAATGGATTATTGAATCAACAAACGAAATCATTTTTCCATTAATGAATTCATTAGTTTGCTAGTGACGGGAACGCTTGACCTGGTTTGACTGTAAGCGAAAATTACATTGTGATGAGATTTTTAGACCGTGTAATAAATCTGATCCCTGATTCGGGCTCAAAAGCGTCGTGATCCCTGATCCCATTCTTCTGATCCCTGAGCCCTTTCCTCTGAGCCCTGATCCCAATCATATTTTGGGCTTTGAGCCCTGAGCCCATATACCATGTTACGACCCTGGAAGTTAAGTGTCGCTCTGAAAGGCATCACAAGACATATTGACATGGAACCCGCTTTCCCTTCTCCGACAAATCATTTAAAATGTCGTCTGTCCATTCTCTTTAGTTTCCCAGTGAACTCCATTTAACTGTGCAACTACGTTTTAACTTCAAAGAATCCCGTTTGTAGTTTAGCTTTGTTATTCTTGAAATCGTGTGTCTTGGAGAAAATTATGTACAGTGTATTTACCAATCGGAGAACGCTTTTATCTCCTACGTCATTGTTTTTGACGAACAGGTCACGCTACACTTCTTGCTTCAGTCTGTTGTTTCATCAGCGTTCTGTCTGATGTGAAGTTCGATTGGGCCTTATGAAAAAAAAAACGATATGGTATATGGAGGGGCCGGAGATGTTGAAAATTTCGGACCGGAAATAGAAAACACGGTTTAAAGCGGAAGTACCGTTTTGGCGCCAAGCAGAAAATAGATTTCATTTTCAATCAAATGATGCTAATTTTCAATTTGGCTTCGTTCACACAACACAACAAGAGTAGAAGGTTTGGAATTATGAGTACTAAGAGCAATCTCAGGGCTGCTGGAAGAGAGATTTCCACTCGGTAGATAGAATCAAGTATCAGGCTTTTACGAGGTGTTCGATGGCCGGGGTATAAACGTACACACCAACACGACATTGTTGAGCCTTCTTGGAAAAGGGCTTTACAGCATAAATATTGACGGTACAAGTAATAAATAAAGAACAAAGTTTTCACAATAAGACTATTTACAATATCACATATTCTAACTTACTTTGGCTCACGCTTTTCATGGTAAAACACCCTGCAAAAAAGTTAAATAATTTAAAAGCCAGTTACAATTATTTTTAATATTATATAAGGTTTTTAAAATTTTTTGTCTCGATTACCGAGAGAAGGATTACCTATTAAGTTACAGTAGAGTCTAACCGTACTCACTATAGTTACTTTTCGCTTTTTAACGGCACATTACTGTAAGATGTGGGAAATTCACCCTCATGTTAGAATATTTTAAACAGATTTTCTTTGATGCTTGCCACAGGCTACCTGTACACTTAGATACAACCTCGGTCACATGTTCGTCAAAACTAAGGCGCGAATCCACGATGACCCCCAAATCTTTTGCAGAACGAGACGGCAGAATCTCTTTACCGAGTAGCGTAACTCCAAAACCCTCCGGCACACGAGCTAACATCTGCGGGGTTCGAAGAAGCAATAACTTAGTCTTGTATCAGCAAGCTGTGTGTGCAACACCAGGCGGCAATGCGTTGCAAATCTTCGGACAAATGTTCCACAGCCATGGCTGTCTCCTGGACATGAAACGAGAGATATGAGCACAGCTTAGGGACAGCTGGAAGATCGTTGATGTATATATTAAAAAGGGCTGGCAAGTAAAAGTTTGAAAATTTCTACAATTCACGGCCGTCGCTTTCAAATCGCCTGCAAGATATAAATTCTTCAAATCGGTACAGTGTAGGAAACTTCTGGTATCTAAAATATGAGTCATTTCATATATTTCATTTATGGTAGCTAACTTGAAGATTGTAAAATAACTGGAACGATCACCACTAACAATGACAAAAATAGCCACGTTCACTGACTTATCTTGCACAGTGAACAATTTTTTTCTTCCGGCCTTTATTAAACGTACCCGAGAGAGTCAAGAGAGGTTCCATGATTATCCTCTCTTGAAATTCTCCATTTTCGGACTGTAACACACGTATCAGTGTTTCGAGGCGTTTCCTGCCGTGAACTATTGAAATCATGTCATTCTGTGCAGTGATCAGACTTGAATGATTAGTGTTGTTTTTGTGTTGCTTGTATAAGTGGTGGTTACAAGATAGTCTTTTTAAAACTGAGAGAGAAGTTCTCACTTTACTTGTGATTGATGCATTTCGATCCATTTTGTTTGTTTCTGTGTTTTGAGGTTCGTTGCTTATGATCGCCCTGTTTCGGACAATAATAGACTAGTTTTATTCGAAGATTTTTCTGATCTTTCTTATTCTTGTTTCTTGCAAGAATAAAGCAATGTCTGCCTTCTATCCTTTAAAAAAGTCCACTCATCATCGTGATTTCCTTCGCTATTCTTGAACAATCTAGAGTCATTCTCAGTTTTGTTTTTGCAGGCCAAGCTGGGCTTGTGCGTTGCATCGTGATTTGCATTAACTCCGCCCCCACTCAAATGATTGACGGAAAAACCCATTCGAAGTTTGCAAACGCGCAATTTGTGCAGTATCAAAATATTATAATGCAACCACCATTAAAATGTCAGTGCTCATTTGTTTTCTTTTGATTTCTCAGGGGATTCCTGGAAAGCAATGGAGCTCAGCAACACCCAGAGGAAAGGCTACAGCCAACAGAACAAGAGGTAAGTAGATAAGTTTGCCAGAGGTAGTTGATATGAATATTTGCTGCTCTAATGTAGATTAATGTGCAATTATTATCATACACATCATGGTTCATTATCTTTAAATATATTTGCAATAATAATTAGTTTAGACAGCATATAACAATTGGTAACTAATTGTGAAATATTGATGTAATGTTAAACTTGTAGGAAGCTGTGGGTCAAGAAAATGGAGAAATTGTCCTGAGAGAGCGGATGGAAGGGCAGGCTAATGGAGGTGAATACAATTTGGATCCTGTCTTTTACGTACCACCATATTCGCCTAATCAGCTAATGGAGTTGGAGATTCCCTTGCAACCCCTGCTGCATTCAGTGCATTCTAGCCCTGTACGTGAGCAAGCCAATGAAGGATCCCTTCCAGGGACAATTTCCTCAGCAAACCAATTGAATCAGTTTAGACAAGAACAGGCAGGAGCATCTGTGTTAGCCAATGGAGCTGGGTATCCTCCTCAGGCAGCAGACAACGTTGGAAGACTTCCAGTTGAGCATCCCGACATGCCTGAATTTCCGGTACATCAGCATCAGATTTTAAACAGGTAAGTGTCATAATCTGCCGTGCTTTCATCATAACATTTTATGCAAGTATACTCAGTTAGAAGTCGGGGAATTGAACAGGTAGGAATTTCTTTGGTCCTATCTGTTTCACCCATTAACAGCTAGTCCCGTGATAATTCTTCCCTTCTTTTTCCTTTTCTGTTTTTAAATTTGTTTGAACTTAATTAAGAATTTATAACGTCAGAACAGGGGCACCTCGGTACAGACGACTTGAAAAAAAGTTGATTGCCTCATAGTTTGATTAAATGAAGGATATTAAATGAAATGAAATTTTCTTGTTTGAGGATAGCAATGTATAAAAGTCGACTTTCACTATGCCCAGTGAGTATTTTGGTGATCCTAAATTCACGGAGTCCACTGGCATTTAGGTTTTTTAAAGTCACAAAGGTGGTCCATAGGTCTCTTGGTGCAAACGTATAAGTCTTTTAGGTAAAAAGTGCCACGTAGCGTGAAGCTGAAGTGCATTACCCGTTAAGGTCAGGTGCAAATTTTGTTTTGTTTATTACTTAAATGAAAAGTGAATTTTAAGTCTTCCAATCCGTTTTTGTTTCGTCTATGTTAATTCCAATGCGGCCCAGACAATATGTATCAGAAAACTCCTTAGCAAGTTTTTATCACTGGACGAGAAATAAATATCATATGCTAGAACTTTGACCTGAATGTCAGTCACTTGTAAGTGTTATCGATGATCTACTCTACAATTTCAGGCCAGCTTCCCCTAACCTGATAGCAGCTGTAGTGGCACAACTCTGTGATGGAAAGTACATCTTCAAAGTCAAGAACTTCCCCAAGCTCCTCCAGAACGCAAGAGATGTAATGGGATGGTCATTTGAGAGTCTTCCATTCCGCACTGATCCATTTGGCTACCAGTTTTCCTTAATAATTTTTCCACTGGGCGTGAACGGTGGGGGCAGGGAGCACATCAGTCTGTTTATTCGCACAAAGCGGGGCGAGTTTGATAATATCCTTCCCTGGCCCTTCATGGGAAGCTTCTCTTTCACCATACTGGATCAAAGCGATGTTGCCGACGGTTTCCACAACCACATCACTGGTACTTTTGCTAGAGCTTTTCAGAAGCCAATTGCCGGAGAAAACGGCACCCTTTACGGCTTTGCAAAGTTTGCACCCATCGAAATGGTTTGTACTCAGCGGTACTCAAGAGAAGACTCGGTAATTTTTAAAGTGGAAATTGATAAAACCCTCTAAGCTTTCTGTACAGGGAAAATTTAATCCCAGGAAGGTTTTCAAAAATTAAAAAAAAAAAAAAATAGCTAAAAGATACTATAAACGTTGCATTAATTTTCAGTCGCATCAGTTATTAGTTTTTAGTTTTTATACTGACACATGTATTTCTAACCTCTTCAAGGAACAGGCTAGAATTTTACCCAACCAATATAGTCAACATATACTATATACTATAAAAAATATGGAAATTTTGAAAGTACAGTATACTTTTAAAATTTCCATATATATTTTTTTTATTTTACACTCTAATGTGGTGAACGAGCTCGGAGCTAATCTTGTTCCTTTGGTTTAAAACCATTAGCTCAGTATGTTTTGATCACACCCAAGAGCCATGTCACACCATTGCCCAGCTTTGAGAGTCTAGTCGCGAACACTAAGCAAAACTGAATAGCCAGTGAAACGCTTTGGGTGAAGCTTTGGTACGTAATCGCCTTATTATTTTTATTACTCTTTTTGGTATACTCAGGCAGTGTATAGCTTGCCTTAGATACGCTGCTTTCCTTTCGGAATGGAAATATATAAAGATGGATCAAACCATGATCGACTGTCTCTCGGGCCGCGGATGCAAGAGGAACAATTGGATCTCGGATATTCATTATTCTTCGAAATTATTTCGTATAAACTCGATGTCCTAAAAAATGCTGACTGTCTAAGATCATGATTGCCCTCGCCCATCCACCTGTGCTCAAGAATCGAGGGTGGTAAAGAGGGGTACAGATGAGGAGGGTAAATGGAAACACTTACTCTCTGGAGATGAGTTACATGCATTTACCGGGGCAAGGCAAAAAAATACTGAGGTCCTAGGTGACAACGTAAAAAAAAAGGCGCAGTTCGATACTTCACATACATATACTTAAAGGCGTGTGTACTATTTTCTTGCAACAGCATCGCCATGACAGACCTATTTAATGTTTGCATACACCTTACCGTGTAAGGAAATTTTCCTTTTAGCCCTAACTTGATGGGCTGTCTAGTCTGATTTGACTTATTAATATTGTTAGTAATTATGCTTTTGCAAAGTAGTCATAGTGTATATTTCAAAAAACGGGGTGGCAAATGAATCCTGGTTATTGTACGTAGGACCTGTTTTACTATCTTCGAACTTGGTACTCCGTATTACGTGGAGAACATCTCGATTTTCAAAGTATTCAATTAAAGCAGACATGCCGTCAGCTAAGTACTTATAAATTTACCTCATTCGCCATCCCTACAACTATTAGAGATCTTAGAGGAAGAGAAAAAGAGGTTTTAGTAAAAAATAATGTCAAAAAAGTCAAATGACAAAGAAGCAATAACGGCAAAATTGTTAACTTAAGCAGTTAAAAAATGCTCAGTAAATAACTATTATAGCAATTAGTGTGTAATGTTGTTCTAGTGGTTTTCAATAAAGCAAAGGAAAAACGTTACATATGACTGTTGTTTATTAGAACTGTTCGTATTTGGTCTATTTGCAACCGAGGACAGTTTCCTTTGTGCCGAGATCCTTGTTCTGGTCCCACAACAGGCTCAGCAAATTAATGCTGGAAGTGTGAATCTTATTTCTCTTTAACCTCATGGATTGCATTGACCAATTAAACAATGGCTTTTTTGTTAAAGATTGGAACCCAGGAATTATTTGATAAGTAAGTTGACTATGATCGTCCGGGTGAACGTAGTCCTGAATTAGACTGTTGTTATTTACAGTGACTGGCGTTTCGACAACTTGTGAGGTAGTCATCTTCAGAGTCAAAGTGAGTTGTATCAAGTCACCTCTAGTCATTGACCTGATCGGGTCAATTAAGTCGCGATGTTATTGGTCGTCTGTCTGTTAAGCTGTGATGTTATTGGCTATGAAGACTCGTAATGTCATTGGTGCGTTTCGATTAGTCTATTTGTCACAGTTAAACAGTCGTTTATTTGTTGGTCAAATTATTGGTTGTCCAGTCATTCTTTTGTAGTTAGTTTTGCTTGAGTCCGTCAATAAGTCATCTTCTGAGACCCAGGGGCAGCTAGTCGGGACGAACGAACGTTCGCGGTGAAAGTTTACTATAAGATCAAGAAGAGCCCTGAGCACTTAATCTTACGGAACCAGTTCCAGAAGCGTTTGAATTGCCTGCTTCTGATTTTTTCTGGCCAATCAGCAATAAAATAATAATTAACAATTGATTGAGTGAGACATCAAAATAACAGCTCAAAACTGAACAGTTTTTCAAATGATTTGTTGTCTGTAACATAATAATTCTTGACCGGGAGACATATTTAGTTCAACTTGAAGCTATTTTGTAATTTACCAGTAATTTTGCCATAGAAGCTAAGTTCCATTCTGAGCAAGGACGTTTAATATTTGCAATATTAGCAAAATGGACTAGAAAACTGTGACACAGCTCCCTTAACTCACATGGAACTGTCTACAAATCAAACAATTCTGATGTTCCTAAGTCATATATAAGGCCATACTGCCTCATTCTACAATGATTTTTGACACAAAATGAGACAATACCATAACTCATTAACACAAGAACTAAAACAGAAATTACACTGACTACTGTCAACACTGTATAATCCCGTTTGTGTTCCTTTAGCAGATGCTGCACTGCTTGTAATGAGCCATTGTCTGGTGCAGGTTTAATGCCCAGTATATGACACATAAGAGAGTATACATTCACATTTTCAAATGGGTCTGAAACAAAGCCTTCTTTGAATACAGGTCCCTGGGCAAGAAAAAAGGGGTGCATATCAGGGAATTGGTTACTGTAGCCATGGTTACCACGACTGTCAATTTTTGACTTGTTTTTTGTTATGGTCCATCCTTCTTCAATGACGAGGAAAATTGGCATGACACGTCGGTTATGCCTGTAATGAAACTCTTCAGGTATTTCTTCTTTAAGGTATGTATATAGATGTGGAACAGTCTTGAGCTTTTGGTAAGTGTCATTCAACTATCCTTTCTTGGGTAGAATATGAAAAAACACATTAGAAGCATGGTCTGCCCTGTTTGGATCAGTGATGAGTGTATACCAGTCTGATGGAATGTAATGATCCAGCTGGATAAGACGGGAGTTGTTGGCATCTGCCATGCCATGGTCGCTTGTGATAATCAGGTTTACCTAAAATGGGTTGACCATAAAAATACAATGGAAATATATTTAGATCCATCAGTTGTTACCTAATAATAATCTTATGGGACACGTAAAGAGTTACTTCATCTTACCATGTATATAACATATCACAAGCATTTACTAAAAGACATTCTCTTCATAATTGAATAAATCCAGTACAACAAATGAAGAGCAAAACAGTATGTTTTTTTCGTCCTTCACCTATGTTGACCAACTTTACTGGCCTTCATAAGAGTGAATGGCTGTTACAAGCATCACACACCATTGACAACAACACTCAAATTTGAAAATTTGCATGCACTACAAAGAAAGCTAGATGCCTGCATGCTTCTACCGCCTGTGAGACCTATAGTAGCCCTGTTCTAACTAAAAACAAGTCAGTTTAGTTTGAGCCCTGAGGCTGAATGCAGTTCAACATAATAAAAGGCCCAATTAATCTTGGAGTGCTGACTTCCCCCCAGAGTCAATAATTGTCCATTTGGTCATTACAGGGAAATCTCAGACTGAGGTCAGACATTTCCCTGTGATGACCGAATGGACGAGGTTAATAAGTTATTTATAATAAGGCCTTTTCAATATGGACCTGAGCTTGCAATCAATTATAACCAACAGCTGGATAACTGTGAAAAAACATGCCTGCACTTCAGTGAGTTGTAAACTTGACCCCGCAATACAGTCATGTGACACTGGTCAGTGGATACCCTATTTGACAGCTGTCAATTGACTATTACATGGACGTCCAGAAGGATGTTAGCCTGAGTATCAGGTGTTTCTGGGGGAAGGCCTAATACTCAGGCTATAAGGATTTCTACTTTCACGTTTAGCACAGATTTTATATGTCTTGGACAGCCAGCTGGTAATGCGCGGCTAAATTTATAAGAAAATAATGCCTGCTTAGCAGCCAATCAGAGCGTGTATACTATTATGGCCATTATATATTATAACTCATCTAGATTTAAACAGTCTTTGAAATGAAACCTGAGAAGCAAGTGTGGCACAGTGATGAGAGCACCCATCTAGTTTTGCTCCTTTTTGGAAGACAGCACCCAGAAAATGGCCCAACTAACTCTAAAAGGCATTTTTCAGCAAAATTTCCAAGAGAACAGTGATTTTGTTACAAATAGTTGTGGGCCCTGGGACTCATCTTGTGCAAAATTATGAGTTCCAGCCAGAACCAAAGAGTCCCTGAGTTGAAAAAACAAAGAATCCTTAGTTGGGACTTTATGTAACCATGCAGACAGGTAATCTGACTCCAAAACTCTGTATTGCAGTTTACTGAATTAAAAATACACTCCTTCTTTTGTAAACCACAACAAAGACAAAACAATATTCATTGTTACAAAGTAGCCACAAGAATTACAGCCACAGAAATCAAACAAACGGGATAATCTACAAAAGCATCCTTAGATCGATCGATCTACCTTCGCGTCCTACGAGACGCACGCCACAAATTATTTTGCGTCTTTGGGCATTTTTTTTTTGCATCGAAGATGCAGGCCCAGAGGTAACAGAATCAATGGGAGTGTGAATGGAATATTCTGAACAAAAAATCTACCATATCAACATCAATCGTTTTCAAAATAACTAAACAATTTCCATTGTGGCATTGTGTTGACATCTGATGGAGCATCATCATTGGCTTTAGTAGTGAATAACCCTAGCCATTGGGTATGATCTAGTCATGCACAAAGTATCCTGTATCACTGATGTAATCTAAACCCAGCTAGTGAGGTCTGTGAAGCAGAGCTGGCATCCTTGTTTATTTATTTCAATTATTTTATCCAACAGATGTAGCAAAAAACGTATATGAGGTCGATTAGAAGCTCGGGGGTGGGGAATTGTCTCTTTCTGCGTGCCCGGGAGTGGGGAATAGACCTCCAGGAAAGAACAATATTGCAAATCCCCGGGGGTATGCCCGGGGGGGGGGGAGCATGGTTACAAGTAAAATTGCAGCATGCATAACGCAAGATTTAGTTTTGTTTGTGACACACGCCAGCAGCGCACAATGGCAAGGAGTGAAAGGGCTCCGTGATGCACCATAAGTGTAGTCAAGCTTAAATGAGCTTCATCATCGCGTACATAATTGTTGATGACACAATTGTCGTCAGCTGATGTGAACTTTTCACAGTAAACTGATTGATTTGGTTGTTATTTAAGCTTAGATCTTACCTGATTGAACAATCCTCGATTTCGTAAACTTTCCAACAGATATCCAGTGACATTATCCATTCTACGAATAATGCTTTTAATCTCTGGTGAATTGGGGCCAAATTTATGCCCACTGTGATCTGGCTCGTTAAAATAAGCGGCCAAAAAGCTTGGAGGATCATCCTGCTCTAACATTGTACATAAATAATCTATTCGTTTCTCGAAGGATTAAGTGACCTATTATAGGGTAAATAGTGTGTAGGGTACTGGCCTTCTATTTTCACCTCTGAACCAGGCCAAAACACCACAGCACTCTTCTTAAAAGCTTTTTGATTCGTGATCCACACCGGTTCTCCGTTCCACCATTTTGAATCCAAGTAATGCCTTGACACGGCATCTAAGTAGAAAGTGTCGTTTAAAACAGGATCGCAAAACGTATTTGCTGCGATCCCGTGGCTTTACTCATAAAGTGCTGTACCTAATGTGAAATGATCAGGAGTACCCGACGGAGCCGCTCGACAAAATACCCGCTCGTCAGGCAGAATTTGAGCTAGCTGGAAAAAAAAAACATTAGCTAGTTAGCTGGCTGGGAAATCTGAATGAGCGCCTTGCTAGCTGAAAATATGAAAAATTTATGCCGGTTCTGGCTGGATAAAAAGGTATATTTTTTCTCCTGGCAATCGCACTGTAATTTTTTATATGGATATTAGAGCGGGCGAAGCAAGTAAGTGCGCGTGGAAATCACCCCACGCGAAATGACACCTTTTGCCAGTGAAAACGGAAATTTGTTTGGGTGTGTAAGCAAAACGTCCTGCTGTGAATACCTTGTAAAAGATACACGTAGCGAGAAAATGACACAGTTGAGTCAAGCACCGCTCACCGCTTTGTTTGTAGTCGTTTCGCTGTCGATCCTTTATAGAAAACACTTTTGTGTGTTCGTGTTTTAATATGCCTGTCTACATATCAGCTACTGGCCTACGTTCTACTTTAAACCTGGTGTTAACGCGGCCAAAAGGTAAGCAAAATGGTTGTGTTTCTTTGTGAGGTTGCCGTGCATGTGTATCGCATTAAGAACATTCGCTAAGGCACATAAATGCCATCAAATATTGAGACGATTGAATACAAAAACTCTCTCCAATAAATAATACACTCTGGCCTCTTAGCGGAGTGAACTCAAAACTGATTTCATTCGGTATGCTCGTTTGCAATGTTGTCCAGGTTTGCGCGCTCAGGAATATTTCCGTTGGAACCAATTTCTCTTTTGTTATGTGCTCACCGGGACGGGAAACCTCCTCGATCTATGGTCATTTGGAAGGCGTTTAGCAACTGCACAGGTATCTGTTAAGATCAGAAAAGGTAGGAAGATTTTACATTTGTACTACCCGTATATTGATGTATTTCGCGTCCGTTATAGTAACTGTTGTTTTTAAAAAAGGCAACATCCAAGTGTGCCGTTGCATTTCAATGCTAACGTCTGTGTAGTAAATTGTAGTATAGCGGGGTAAATCCCGAACGGCTATCATTCTTTGACTTTCATACCAGTATCTGTTTTGACGCTGACGCATTTCTTGCTCTTAAAGCTTTTTATCGTATTTAAATTGTAAGAGCTCTGTTAGCAAATTTATTCATATCTTCGAACACAGTGACTCAGATTACATATTTTTGGTGATGTTTCCCGGCTGTAGGACCTCAATTTTGACAGCGGGCGTTACCGGCCATGGTTACGTTTGAGAGGCTCTTTGGCCAATGTAGAAAAAAAGAATAAAAAATAGTTTACAATTTTCTTGCCAAAAAATGAAAGAAAATTACAAATGTGAACAGTATTTACTTATTTTCCTAAAATTGCTGCAAGCAGGGTTTAAGCTGGACTATTGAATAAACAAATTAATAGACAACTAGGTTGTTCTTTTTGCAACCATTTGTCGTGAAGAACAGGATATTTTTCTTTGGAGTTTTTATTTTCTTCTGGTTATCATAAAGTTATTGCTTTCTACAAAATAATCGCCCTCACAACTCAACCGTAGCCTGCGCAAAAGGCGTCATTAAGGTGCTTAGGGTTGTTTAGAGGCGCGAGCGCGAAGCGCGAGATACGCAGTAGGACGCAGTTACGTCACGTTTGCCGTCGTCAACTCGATTTTTAAACGTACCGAAGAAGGTTTCACCTAAGCTTATCTTATTGCCAAAAGCTACAAGAATTTTTCTGTAGCTGTATTAAAACTGAAGTACTGTTGCTGTTCGCAAATTTACTATGACGGTCGCTTCAAGCAAACTGATAAAGGTATTGCTGCATTTATTTTACTTTGGTGGGTCTCTCTGTACCCAAAGCAAAATAAGCTTGCCTTCCTTGGTGTGATCTTACTTACATTTGTTTCAACTGCGCTTCGATTCTATAACTTATAGATGTCACACGACCATCGCATGCACGACATAAGGTTATATGCCTTTATAGGTGATTGTCTGACTGCAAAACAAAACATTCCTGACTTACATACGACTATTGGCTTTTGCTGCGAAACTTTGCACCAGTTCTGGTGTGAAACTTTTACGGTGATTGCCTGACTGACCACGTACGACTACTGGCTTTTGCTGCGAAACTTTGCACCAGTTCTGGTGTGAAACTTTTACGGTGATTGCCTGACTGACCACCTAAGACTACTGGCTTTTGCTGCGAAACTTTGCACCAGTTCTGGTGTGAAACTTTTACGGTGATTGCCTGACTGACTGCGTACGACTACTGGCTTTTGCTGCGAAACTTTGCACCAGTTCTGGTGTGAAACTTTTACGGTGATTGCCTGACTGACCGCGTACGACTACTGGCTTTTGCTGCGAAACTTTGCACCAGTTCTGGTGTGAAACTTTTACGGTGATTGCCTGACTGACCACATACGACTACTGGCTTTTGCTGCGAAACTTTGCACCAGTTCTGGTGTGAAACTTTTACGGTGATTGCCTGACTGACCACCTAAGACTACTGGCTTTTGCTGCGAAACTTTGCACCAGTTCTGGTGTGAAACTTTTACGGTGATTGCCTGACTGACTGCGTACGACTACTGGCTTTTGCTGCGAAACTTTGCACCAGTTCTGGTGTGAAACTTTTACGGTGATTGCCTGACTGACTGCGTACGACTACTGGCTTTTGCTGCGAAACTTTGCACCAGTTCTGGTGTGAAACTTTTACGGTGATTGCCTGACTGACCACCTACGACTACTGGCTTTTACTGCGAAACTTTGCACCAGTTCTGGTGTGAAACTTTTACGGTGATTGTCTGACTGACTGTGTACGACTACTGGCTTTTGCTGCGAAACTTTGCACCAGTTCTGGTGTGAAACTTTTACGGTGATTGCCTGACTGACTGCGTACGACTACTGGCTTTTGCTGCGAAACTTTGCACCAGTTCTGGTGTGAAACTTTTACGGTGATTGCCTGACTGACCACGTACGACTACTGGCTTTTGCTGCGAAACTTTGCACCAGTTCTGGTGTGAAACTTTTACGGTGATTGCCTGACTGACCACCTACGACTACTGGCTTTTACTGCGAAACTTTGCACCAGTTCTGGTGTGAAACTTTTACGGTGATTGCCTGACTGACCACCTACGACTACTGGCTTTTACTGCGAAACTTTGCACCAGTTCTGGTGTGAAACTTTTACGGTGATTGCCTGACTGACTGCGTACGACTACTGGCTTTTGCTGCGAAACTTTGCACCAGTTCTGGCGTGAAACTTTTACGGTGATTGCCTGACTGACTGCGTACGACTACTGGCTTTTGCTGCGAAACTTTGCACCAGTTCTGGTGGGAAACTTTTACGGTGATTGCCTGACTGACCACGTACGACTACTGGCTTTTGCTGCGAAACTTTGCACCAGTTCTGGTGTGAAACTTTTACGGTGATTGCCTGACTGACCACCTACGACTACTGGCTTTTACTGCGAAACTTTGCACCAGTTCTGGTGTGAAACTTTTACGGTGATTGCCTGACTGACCACGTACGACTACTGGCTTTTGCTGCGAAACTTTGCACCAGTTCTGGTGTGAGACTTTTACGGTGATTGCCTGACTGAACACGTACGACTACTGGCTTTTGCTGCGAAACTTTGCACCAGTTCTGGTGTGAAACTTTTACGGTGATTGCCTGACTGACTACCTACGACTACTGGCTTTTGCTGCGAAACTTTTGTGGTGATTGTCTGACGACATACCATTATGGCTTCTTGACCACAGAAAAAATGAGTGAGTAAGATCAAACTCAGGATGACAAACTCTTACTAGTGCGGAGAAAAATACTACAAGAACACCTTATCAGTGTGGCTTTAAAAAGTAAACTGTTGCCATAGCGTATTTGAAAACATGGACAGTATTGTTTTTTTTTACCGCAACAGAAAGGTCCTTGTTTGTAGTCAGGCGTTTACGTAAATGACGAAAGAGGAAACTATCCTCCCCACCTTGAAACTCGAGTTAAAGACCGCAAACGTTACCTTACTTCGTGGATTCGTGGTTTTCAGCCGTAGTGGTTAGAAGTTTCCAACGGAAAGCCTGTTTACTCGAAACTTTCTATTAGTTCTGGTGTAGACTTTTTGCGGAGTAACAGTAGGCACGGCATACAATGCTGGCGATAAGCATGTGTCTACACTGAATTTGGGGTGATTTTGCAGAGGAGACCACACGTGGATCGAGCTTAATTGTTATGTTGTTTATTCTTAAACTTTATTTCACCTCAGTCGATTATCGTTGGAAAAAGTTGGCCTTAAGGCTTTGCGATGATCACTTTTTTTACGTGTTATTGTGTTATGGACAAAGTTCGGGATCTTCCTTTTTATCGTTTACCTGGCAAAAACTCAAGACTACTCCTCAAGTCCACATTCCAAAACTGTAAGTACCGCTGAATGTCTTTAGGTGTTATGTTATTGTTATGTAATTCTTAGGGATAGGGAATAATATATACTAAACAAATACACTGATCTTTTCCCTATATCTCAAAAAAAAAAAACCCGACAACTAGATAAAAGGGTGAAACAGGTTTAACACGCTTTTCTTTTATATTATGTAAATTTGACGTAAAACAGATCTTGCCTACTGACTTACATGTTTTTCTTTGCAATGTGTTAAATGAAACTTTGCTGGCTGGCTCATAACTTACTTCTGCTACCGCTGGCTGGCAAACACCGAATTCCGTTTCACTCTGGCTGGGATTG